AATGTGGCTTATCGATTGGCGTTGTCACCTGAACTATCGGCAGTTCACAATGTGTTTCATGTATCGATGATCAGAAAGTATATGCATGATCCTGATCATGTGGTCAACTACCAATCCTTGGAAGTACAAAAAGACTTATCTTATGAAGAATTACCGATTAAGATACTGGATCGAAAGGTCATAAATTACAGAACAAGGAGATTCAACTAGTCAAGGTGTAATAGAATAATCATGGAGTAGAAGAAGCTACTTGAGAAAGAGAAGAAGAAGTTAAAGACAAATACCCAACACTCTTTGTCCAACCATAAGGTAAATTTCAAGGACGAAAGTAAGGGTTGTAGTAGCCGAGAAAAAATAAAATGAAATTAGCTATTATTTTGTGATGATCCAGCACCACAAGCCTAACCCATTTTAGAAACTACATATGGAAGCTCAACCCATGTAAGATTACGAAAGCCCAAGTCATAAGTTAATTAAAAGCTCAGCAATTTAAGAGATTAAGTTTAAATAAATTTGACTACAAAGATTTAATGAATAACTGGGTTGCCACAATGGTCATCTACATGGTATTTCATATAGGCAACCTAGGTTCGAATTACCATGTAGATGTTTTTTTATAAAACTTTCATATGAATTATTTTTATGGTTTAGAGACTCTTCAAATCTTAGTTAAAAACTAAGTTTAATAAATTTAATGATAGTACAACTCTCCCACTTAATTTTTCATTCAAAAGAAAGGTTATAGAAGTGGAATGTCACTTTTTCACTACACTCCTCTTCAAATCCGAATTTGATCTCATTTTCTCTCAAAAAATATATATTTCATATCAAGTTAAGCTTAAGGTATAATAAGGGTGAGAAGAAGGAAGACTTTCTATACATTTTGTTCTTTTATCCAAGAAAATTTAAGGTAGGTAGAGGTGCAAGTGTTCATTCGTTTTCAAATCTGATTTTTCGATGAATATTTGAATGAAATGGTACCTTCGGGTATGGTGCTTCGGCACTACAACAGTTTGAATGATCATTCTCCGGCTCCACGTGTTATGATAATGCTATAGTAATTGGATTTTGCCGGAAATCCATCTACGTGCGACGGTATAAATCTATAGTTTGGAATTTCTAATTTGATAACGAATTGCACCGATGATATCTATTGAGTTTCAAACTCATGGGTTAATTCCCTTCCTATAGGTTGAATGGATTTTTCTTGGGGCGTAGATGATGGTAAAGGATCATGCAACATGTCATGGAGAAGCCGGTGATTTACATCTTTAGTTGATTTTGAGATGTTTACACTTTCTTTAAATTTGATTCCTATGAATATTTTGTGGATCTATTTTACGAACACTCATTATGAATAAACTACTTTTGAAAGTAGATATGCGTTATAAGAATAAATTTGCAAATCACCGTATACAAAAAAAGTCAGCGACTTAAAGTTTTGATATCTCTTCAGAAATTTCAGTTTCTGCCTCATCTTTAAAAAAAATCATAACTCTTTCGTTACTTGGTATTTTTATACGAAACCAATTGGATTGGATAGCCTAATAAGTTAGATACTGAATAAAATTGGAATCATGTCAATCCAATATCCTTAAAAGGTTATATGTCACATAAAGTAAACTGTGCTGGGCGCTGTCTCTGTTTTTCAGCTTCTACATTTGTTTTCAAAAATTCATAAATCACACATTACTTGGATGAAACCAATTGGATTTGATAATATCATGGATTAGCTACTGAATAAATTTGAAATCATGTGGTTTTGACGTCGGTGGAATTTTATATGTCATTTTAAGTGAATTGCACCGGTTTATCTTTCAACCAGGTCACTGCTGAGTTTTGAAAAATATTTTAATACCCCATATGATGTCAACGGAAACTAGTTTTTGATTATGTCATATTATAAGGAGTTTACTACCTTACATTAAAATTTGATGAAATTTCAAGGTCGATAGCTATGAAAATTAATTTATTATGACAGTTACTATTTGAGATAAAAAAAAAAAATTTGGAATAGCAGCATTACTTTTTAAGTTTTACCAAAATTTCACGTCAATAGTTGTTCCATGCATGGAACCCATTCTAAAAATATTTTTGAAATTGTTTTCTTTTAGAATTGGATTATTGTTTAAATAAAAATAAATAAAATTCTTTAATTAAAATTTAAAATTTAATCTTTATACCTTCTACTAAAAATATATTGAACTAACTTTATGGCTAAGGTACAAAGGTTTGAGTGACGTTTCCATCCATGCGGGTCGGGGCGTTACAATTATCAATATTGTCAAATGAATTTTTCTATATGTATAGTATTGTTTAACACCTAGTTGACAAATGTTGAGATGGCGGCGATTAAATCAAGTTGCATATAAGAAGTAATGAAATAATTCAAATTCAATTTAGGAAGTAAATGAAATCCAAATTTAATTAGAAAGTAATTTAAATTACATTTAATCTATAACGATCCCAAAATTTTTTACATCATACTTCATGTAAAATTTGCTATTAAAAGTCATGTAAAATTTTCCAATAAAACTATGTAAATTACATTCAGAAAGTTTTTGTACAAAAATAATCAACGTCAATGAAATAATTAAAAGTTTTTAAAGGAAAGACGAGTTAGGCATCTTTTTTAGAAACATACGTTTGATGCACGTTTAACTGTTTTCGATATTCGTTTAGACCATTGGATATGACTAAGATATAGTTTTTGAAATGAGATTCTAAGTGACGTAGATGATTTGTGGACTTGGCTAGAGTATAATCGTCTGTGAATTTTTATAGTTATTATATTATTGAAATTTTCGAAATACTAATTAAACTGGTCTATTTTGACGCGCTATAACTTTTGCTGTGATTGGCCGTTTCATGCACCATTGATAAGCGAAAAATTAGGACTCGAGCACTTCAAAATAGTATTAGTAATGCAATATTTCAACTTTGATTGACGTTCCCTAATGAGCGCGTCAAAATAAGCAATGGAGAAAATGACTATAAATTAATTATAAAATAAAAATAAAAATAAAAATAAAACTTGTGAGGTCATATGACCCCAGGTGGGTTCGCCCACGCCTGGTTATAGCTTTCTGCAATGGTAAGATTGGAGGAAAAGTTTAATAAAAGTGTTTGATTTATAGCCTAGTTGCCTGATCGTTGTGGCATCATGAATTTGACATTTTCCCTGGCACGGCATGTTGATGCGTCTTAATAGTTGAGAGGAAAAGTTTAATAAAAGTGTTTGATTTATAGCCTAGTTGTCTGATCGTTGTGGCATCATGAATTTGACATTTTCCCTGGCACGGCGTGTTGATGCGTCTTAATAGTTGAGAAAGTGTATCTGACATATAATTTTTTAGGGTATTTGACACTCATTTTTATAGAAAAATAAATTTTAAAATGGTAGATTGATGGAGAAAATGTAGATGCAAAATAAAGAAAAGTTTTTTTATTAATATATAATATTATTTTAATAAATAATGTGTGGTTAAAAAGAAGAGATAACAAAATGTATTTTCATAAAAATGAGAATCAAACGGGTTAGGGGTTGTTCTCTTTGTATTTGAATTTTGAATTCATTTTGAGTTTTGTGTTCTGAGTATCTGTTTTGAAATTGTTGAAAATATGTTATTTTTGTCATTTTGAAAAAATATTTTTTAAAACATGAAAATTAAAAAACGTGTTATATTCTAGAAATCGAAATTGTCCTTTTCTCTTCTCCAGCCACCATGAGCTGCTGTCTTCAACCTCACAAACCGACCACTACCCGACTTTCGGCCACCGTCGCCATCGGATTTTTGCACCAACACCATCTCCTCAACAATCCCCACCAACCCTACACAAACAACAACCCCAAATGATAGCAAAATCAAGCCAATTACCGTCTAAAAAACAACCACTGACGCACAATTTTCTACCAAATTCAACCAACCCAATTGCTGCCCATGTTAATTACACCCCACAAGTCAATCAAGCTCAACAAGATGCGTCCATACATGGTATTATAACAACAAACAACACGGAAAATCGAAATCTACAGTAGAAATTCGATACAACAAACTCGTTGCAGACAAACGGATTCAACGATGAATAGGTCGCCTCCATCAACCACGTCGTGAGGAACTGTAGCTTATCTCCCTTCGACCGCCAACAGAGACGGGCATCCATAGCCGGCGAAGGAAAAGAAGGAATCCAATCACTTCCAGAAGAGAGACGGGAGACTTGAAAATGGGAGCGTTTTCCGCATTTTCAATTTTTTGCACAGAAAACATCCAAAACCATAAAAAAATTATTTTGTCTTTTCAGCACATTTTTTTTTTAAAAACTCGTTTTCACCGTTTTGAAAAATTGAAAACAGAAAACGGTCCGAAAACAACAAAGAGAACGCACCCTTAATTTTTCAACTACAATTTCACGAACTTTTATAAAAAAAAATATATTTTTTATTCAAATCATACATTGGTGAAATGTGTAATTTAAAATAATTGTTAGCTTTAATTTAGATTTTAATCAAAATTTTTAATTGAACCAAACAAAAGCTTGGTTTCATTTTCATTTTCCATTTTCATTTTCAAAACGATTTTTAGTTTTACCCGAAAACGGTTTGTTTTTCACATTTTGAGCGTTTTCGATATTTATAACTGAAAACGCTGAAAACGATAAAAAGTCATTTTGCGATTTCAATTATAAATTTTAACTCGTTTTCGAAAATACGTTTTCGAAAACGACGGACCAAATGCGTTTTCCTTGTTTTCGAAAACAGAAAATGGAAAATGGACCGAAAACGACAAACCAACCACGACCTAAAATATTCCCAATCTTAGAAGGACACCAATGGAATCATCGCGTGGATTTTAAAAAAAAAATGTTTAGTTGTGAGTTATATGAAATTTGTAGATAAAAAATATGTTTGGCATAATTTTGTAGAACATGTTCTAAAAATCTCTTTTTGTTTTTTATTTTATTTTTATTTTTTTTCATTTTTTCTTCATCTTTTATTTTGACAAAAAGCCAAAAATGAGAAGGTAAAGAACATGTGCTTCGTCACGCTACCATTCGCTCCTGATTCAGTGATTCTGGCCCCGTTCCAGCAAACTGCATTTACAAGCGACCATTGTCGGTTTTATATGTAAATATCTTCTACAAGTCAAGCCTCAATGGAGAATATGGCCACAGCTCTTCTAGCATAGTGCACACTTCGCCCTCTTCCCGTTTCGGAGAAACCCTTTCATCATCTGATTTTTGAGTTACATGTTGGATTTTTGAATATTTGCGTGTGAATTGACTTTCTGGCTAGCAATGGCGAATCGAAATGGTAAATGGGTCGGAGAAGGGTTCGTAACCTACGCCTATATTTTGCTCTATATCGCGCTCTCTAGTGGCCAGATCTTCTTCAACAAGGTACTTTTGTTGTTTTTTATTGCTTCTTTCAAAAGAGTTATCATTTTAAATGTATTCAAGTATTGCAATGACGCTGGTTATTGCTATTATTGCTATCTGTTTAGTTTTCTGCGATAATAAGATTGGAGGAAAAGTTCGTGTTAAGTGTTGGATTTATTGACCCAGCTAAACTAAGCCTAAAAAGAGGCAGTTTAGCAAGTTGTCCGAATGTCAATTGTTATGGCATCATGAATTTGGGATTTTCCCTGGCACAGCGTGCTGATATGTCTTAATATTTGATAAATCAAATTATGTGGTTAAATTGATTCTACTCATAAGTAGATTTTCCTTGTCACTTTATCAATTAGTACTTGAACATGATTAGCTATGGATGATCATAACTGTTAAAGTAGGATAATCCAAGGAATTAAGCGAATCATTAATGTAGGATATTAGTACTGACTAAGAAATAAGAACTACTAGTTATTGAGATTGACTTGGTGATTTTAGGAAAGCCACAAATTGACATGCTGACTCAACAGCAACTAAGGAGTATGTCCTGACAGTTTTGGGAATTGACATTTTACTGATGTTGTCCTCATTCTAAATGTGATTTTGTTAGCGAGTGAGGTAAAGTTGTACCTTGTACAAGAAAAAATGGAAAAACTTATAATTTTTCGTGCACCATGGGATTCTTCTCTGTAGACGTGTGGATAAGATAGTGATGTGTTAAACTAGCTAAGGAAATGCTTGACTGCATTGATTCTTCTGTTTGTCATCATTTCTTTTATTCTTCCCATTACCTTTTGATGAAAGGTCCTTCCTTGATGTGTTTATGTCCTCCACTGCAATATAGATACTCATAGTCATATCAGTATACTTCTATCCAAAATAACTTTTACCATCTATATTCTTTGGTGATTACATCATGCTTTGCATTAACAAGTTCTAGCCATTTTGCAGTCTCGTCTGTTGCTGAAATCATTTTTTCTCTAATTGCCTCTGGGATCCTCTATTCATTTTTACTTTCATGGTTACATCCCCTAAATTGGTCTTTGGAGACCTTTAAACTTTTATGCACCATTGGCTTAGTATTTGTTATGTAGAACAATTACTCTGTATGTAATACACGATCTGAGTGAAGCATTTTAATGTTTGGAATGATGCATGTATGTGAGTGCATGTGCAAAAGATTCTTCTCTGTTTGCCTGGAAGATGTTGCTAGAGGTTCAGCTTTAGAACCATTCTAGTTGCCTTGTCTCTGCTTCTTTCTTCATTGCCTCGTGTAAAAGAGGAAAATAAGTTTAAAATGATCAAAATAATCAATTGCCATTGCTATATTGTTTGCTTCTGGCCATTAGTTTGCATGTTGCTGGAAGATAGTTGATGGCAAAATTTATTCACATGCTAATCTACTTCAATATTCTATTAAATTGCAGTGGGTTCTGTCGTCAGAGGAAATTAATTTTCCATATCCTCTTGGATTGACCCTACTTCACATGGTCTTCTCCTCTGTATTATGTTTTATGCTTACGAAAGTTCTCAAGGTAATTATGATCAAATGATGGCAAATGTCATCTCTTGGCTATTGCTATTTATGGATATTATTGCTGGTACTATATTGTTATTTGCATTTTTTTGCAGATTATGAAAGTTGAAGAAGGGATGACTTTGGAAATGTGAGTACGCTTATGTCTGATATTCAAAGCTGTGAGATGATATACCATGTATAAAATTAATAAAGTTTTCATCTGTGGATTGGACCTTTTTGGTGCAATAATAGAATGCATCAATCTCCCCCCTTTTCTGGAAAATGAAACAAAAAGAAAATTCTTGTGATGCTAGAAACATCTTAAGAGTTTATGGTTGAGCAAAAGGAAAGGAAATGAAAGAGGAGTTTCAAGCTTGAGGTTTTATTGTTTTTCCTCGTTACTTTTCAACATGTCCACTTGTTTGCTTGCATTAGATTTGGTCCTATACTTTTTTTCTTTAATCATTATGATTACAAGAATTACTTTACCGAGTTGAATTCTGAATATGCAGATATATATCTTCAGTCATCCCAATTGGTGCTATGTTTGCTATGACTCTTTGGCTTGGAAACACTGCTTACCTCTATATATCTGTTGCATTTGCTCAAATGTTGAAAGCAATCAGTAAGTACTACTAGTTGTTTTATTGGTTGTTATACCTAATCTCTGTAGCATTGTGTTACTAATGTCATTCTCGATGACCATTTCAGTGCCAGTTGCTGTTTTCATTCTTGGTGTAGCAGCTGGACTTGAAATAATGAGCTGCAGGATGCTTCTTATAATGTCAGTGATTAGTTTCGGTGTACTGGTAGCTTCATATGGGGAAATAAATATTAACTGGGTTGGTGTTTTCTACCAAATGGGAGGTGTTGTTGGAGAAGCTTTGAGGCTAATATTTATGGAGATTTTGGTGAAAAGGAAGGGTCTCAAATTGAACCCTGTATCTGTGATGTACTATGTTAGCCCCTGCAGGCATGTAATTTATCCTTTTAAAGTATTGGAACCTATGCTATTAATCTATTTTGAGCTCAAATATTAAAATTTTGGTTCATTTTGCAGTGCTGTTTGCCTCCTAATTCCCTGGATCTTTCTAGAGAAGTCAAAGATGAATGCACATGGGACCTGGAACTTCAAACCTCTTGTCCTGACTCTTAATTCTCTTTGTACTTTTGCCCTCAATCTTTCAGTTTTTCTCGTCATCTCGCATACAAGTGCTTTGACTATTCGTGTGGCAGGAGTTGTCAAGGATTGGGTTGTAGTTCTACTATCAGCCATTCTTTTTGCAGATACAAAACTGACACTTATCAATCTGTTTGGTTATGCAATTGGCAAGTATCTCTGTTTCTCCAAAGTGTTATTTTATAGTATCCCAAAGTTGGTAAATAATGTAGCATTGTGATGTTTCCCTTAGTCTACCTCAAAAAAAAAGCTGGTGTTTTCCTTGCTTTGATCTGAGGTTTCTATTTCCACACTCCTCTATTTTTATTTTTATTATTATTTTTTATGTCGTGCAATTTCAGTTCTTGTCACAAGTCAAATTTTAGTGAAGCAGCCGGTGTTGCTGATCATTGATAAGAAATCTAAGGAAAAATATAGCTACATATCAACACAACTTGGAAGTCGTTTTGGATGGAAGAGTTTGGTGTGCTGTATTGGCTTGAGAAATTATAATTTGTTCATTTTATCTTCTTTCTTTTTTCCTGGAGAAAATCAGTTAGGCGTAGGTGAGAGTTGTTTATAGGCCTCCTTTCCTAACTCCAAGTAGGAAATTGGCGTTGTCTCGTGCCTCGTACATATATTGAAATATTCGGTACGACAAAGTGGGACGTGGTAGCCTTACCTCCAAGATTTTATGAGGGGAATTTAGGGGTGGTGATTGTATGCTTTCTATTCAGGAATTTCAATTGAAAAGAATATAAATAATGCAAAAAATTATCTAAAATTGTACAATTAGCCTACTATTGTAATCTCTTTATTCTGACAATTGGTAGTCCACCTCTCCCCAGCTTTAGAATTCCAGTGATATGCCCAGTTAATTGAACTATTTTTTGATTCTATCTTGGAGACCTTTGTTGGCAAACCAATCTTGCTGCATAGTTTCATTGCCTTCATATGTGTGTGAATGTTATGCTTAACACTTTGTCATTCATATTATCCTATATATTTGCTTAATTTAGCAGTATTTTGGAGCTTTGATTGGTTTTATACTTGAGAAATGACCAAAAGAATTTATGGTAACTTGACTTTTGTCATTCATATTATCCTATATATTTGCTTAATTTAGCAGTATTTTGGAGCTTTGATTGGTTTTGTACTTGAGAAATGAGCAAAAGAATTTATGGTAACTTCTCAAAAGAGAATAGTGCACATTGATGTATTAATTAAGACTCTCTCTCTTAATGCAGCTATTATAGGGGTGGCTGCATACAATAACCACAAGTTGAAAAAGGAAGCTTCTCGAGCTGTGAGTTCAGACCAGCCTGTTGAATCACTCCCACTAGTTTCATCTCAAACTTCAAATAAGTAAAGCTGTATAACCAGCAGTTTCACACACTACCTTGGTGTGTACTGTAACTTTATTTCCTCAAGTTCTCTTCCTCACTCGCTGGGGGTGGTGGTGATTCAGACAAGTGGTACTCTGATTCTGTGCAGTAATCTCTGAGATCTTTTCTGATTCTGTGTGGTGGTTCCATTTTGGTATTATGTGGCTGTGAAAGATATGAAAAACCTCAGCACTTGTAATGTTGAGATTGATACCTCTAATTTTCACACACAGAGTTTGCGTCTTCAGACTATAAGGAATTCTTATAATTGAAATGTGTATTTGAAACAATTATTGGATTAAATTCCTGCTGAGGATTTGCTATAGCATTTGAGTTCTCATGATGAACAGAGTTCTGTGAACACCTGTATAATGCAGTTGCAGTAGTTTAACCTCATTGCATTTTTTTTTCGAAGGAATCATTTCAGTTGAAGGTTCTCTTATTTTCTTGGGTGAGTTACACATTTTGTCCCCGATGTTTGACCTCAGTTGCATCTTTTTCCCTACCCTTTTTTCTTGGCATTCTTACACTCAAACAGAAGCTTTCATTAATCAGTGCAATTCGTCTTTCGTCCGTAATCCAAAAGCTCAGTTAGCCCCGTAAAAAGACAATGTTGCCGTTAAACCAAATGAATATGGAAAATATAATTTAACCCTTTCCAATCTCCAATTCAGTGGAACGCTAATGTTCAACCTTCTCTACATTAAGGATTGGTGGTTTTTTTGGCATGAAAATATTGACTTAAAATAGAGACTGCAGAGTTGAGAAAGAGGAGAAAGAACAATTTGTATTTCCTCTATTTGGAATATTTTTACCTCTTGAAGATTTTGTTGTTATTTTTTAATATATGTCATCGATTGCTTGGGTGTTGGGGTGCAACACTGGAGTCTAGATGTGTTGTTCCAATTGATAATCCCATCAATAAAATATTAATACCTCCAAATTATAGTGAGGTGTCAAAATTTTAGTGGTAAGACAGTCAAACATAGTTAAAAGAACTTGCAAAAATGGAGTTGAAGGGCAGGAGATAGTCGCGAGGGCATAAATGAGGGTTTGGGCCTAGAGCTGTAGGCTAGGATGGTGGGGTGCTAACGACTTGCTGAGGTTGGGTGGTTGATAGTGGCGATGGTGGGTCGTAGAGTTTGGGAGCCAAAGTGGAGGTGGTGGCAGGGTCTCCAACGTAAAAAGATTGTGCTTTATATAATTATTTTTTTCTTTTTCATTTAGTTTAAGGGTGATCGATTTTTATTTTTATTATTTATTTTTGAATGAGTCCTCAATAGGGACTGATTGTGCTAATTGATTAAAAGTTGATGGTAAGAATGTAAAGAGAAAAAGGTTGCGGGAAAAATTGAATTATAGTAAAAGATTAGAGAGAGAATGTTTTGACCTTGCTAATTAAACCCAAAGTACAGGCATTAAAGATTCGAGGCCTTTCCCAATAAACCCCAGAAAAATTGACAGCACCATATCTTATCTTCTTATTCATTTATACAACGTGTTCCCAGTCCGAACCTTAATTTTCATAACAATGGCGAATGGCGAGGTTGTTCTTTTGGACACATACATAAGTATGTTTGGAATGAGGGTTAGAATTGCCCTAGCGGAGAAGGGTATTCCATATGAATACAGGGAGGAGAACTTGCGGAACAAGAGTCCGCTTCTACTTGAGATGAACCCAGTTTATAAGAAAATTCCTGTTTTGATTCACAATGGAAAACCCATTTGTGAATCGCTCATAATTGTGCAGTACATAGATGAGGTCTGGAAGGATAGGCCATTGTTGCCTTCTGATCCTAACCAGAGAGCTCAAGCTCGATTCTGGGCTTATTATGTTGACAAGGTACAATCCACATATTTTCTTCTTCATTCAGTGTTATTTCTTTCTAATTTAGTTACTGTTTTATTGTCATCAGTTGAGAGCATATTTTTTTGCTTTTAAGTCTGTTTCTAGAAAGTAAGTTATGCTAGAAAAGTAGGCTTTGTTAATTGTTAAATTCTGATAAATATATTGATAAGATTATTATTGTAATTATTTGATGATATTAGGGGTTAGGAAGCTGTAATATTGTTAAATCAGTAAAGATATTTAATATACTTTGTTGGTCAATCTATAAAATAAGTAAGCTACATATTTTCCACACTAGCCGCCTATTGCAAAATAAATTAACATTTTATTATGTTCTTAAAAAAAATAAAATAAAATAAAAAATTACTGATCTACTTTTGTATAAGTTTAGGCAAACTCCTTCGTAGGATAAATGAAATAAGTTAAGGGAGAACTAGAAGTCGAGACTTGGAAGTTCCTGAAATAGATGAAAAGAACAAATTTTTACTTGTAAAGAACAATGTGCTAAGTTATCTCTCCCCCTAATTATTCCAAAAGTGCTATTACCAATCCATAGATGATTCGTATGATCTGTTGTAAAACAGTATAAAATGGAATTTACATAACATCCGGAAATCATACAAGTTACCATATAAAATTGTGAGTTTTCAATGCTTCGTGTAAATGCAGATATTTTGGGCTGGAAGAAAATTATGGACAACAACGGGAGAAGAAAAAGAATCAGGCAAGAAAGAGTTAATAGAGTGCCTCGAGGTGTTGGAAGAAGAATTGGGAAACAAGCCCTACTTTGGTGGTGAAATCTTTGGGTTTGTAGACGTGGCTTTCATCCCGTACTACTGCTGGTTTTATGCCTATGAGATTTGTGGCAATTTCAGCATTGAGCAATACTGTCCTAAGCTGATTGCATGGGGCAAGAGGTGCATGGAAATAGAGAGTGTTTCCAAATCCCTGGCTGATCCTCACAAGATCTATGAATTTATTGATATAATGAAGAAGAGATATGGGGTAACGGATTAGTATATATAAAAGTCCAGAAAAACTCTTTATTTAGTTTTTGGCATTTTCTATGGTGTCTGGAAAAATCCTTTGATTGTAAAGCCCATTAACTGTCTGCTGAATGTTGTGGACTATGATGTTTTTACTTGTGGGAGCAGCTCTTGTAAGATCCAATCAGCGAGGGTTCTTTCTTCTAGCCGCTTAACAAAACCACTTATGGAATTGTTGCAGTATGATAAACTTTAGAATGTAGTCTCATCAGAGAGAAATCCTCATTTGATGATATGTGGTTGCATTATTTGCCTCATTCTATATATTCTTTGCACTTTAGGGGATTGAGAAACTTGGTTTTCACTTTAAGGTCAACTGCTATAACCTTTTTCTAGCAGAAGACTTGCAAAACTGGACCTAATTAGTGAGCTCGACCACCGGAAGAAGGTGGAGTCTGACTACTTCAGTGGTCAAGTGTGTACTATAGCTATGGTAAGCTTTTGAATGGAATGAGATGAATTGTCAATATATGGAGGTCGAGGTGAACAGACATGCTCAGGTAGTGCATTTGTCACATTAAGTGACTATCATATTGAATTGCATGTTGGACATACCACTGCCACTTCCCTAGATTTTTAGAATCAGCTATGCCGTGCTAGTACATTCTGCTTTGTGTTGCCGTTGCGCAACATCTCTGGTCTTCCCTAATTATCAGCATGGAGCCCAACCTCATTGTTTTGGCAACACAACCCGACTTCATCTCTTTTAATGGGCTTGACCATGTGCACGACTTCATCTTATCAACTAATAGTGATCAGCCTCTGGCCATTGTTTACCTTGCCCCTATTGCATGTTTTAAGTTATAACATTTTGGAAAATGATTGTTATATATCACCATTTACATAATCTTGTACAGAATGATGAGGTGTCAAAAAAAAAAGTGGGAGAGTTTTTTCTTTTTGTTTGGCCGATGAGATTTTGACCCATTCAAATCTTGCCACATCATTTGTTGGTAAACACATCGATAAGTGAAGATGTACATGTATCACAACCGCAATATTTTTCTTGGGTCAACGATGTTCATTTTTACTTGTTTGGATCGTCTACTTTACATGGCTTCAACAATTGTCGAGGTGATGTCTGATGAGGTCGGACTTTTATTGGGAGATTCTGAGCTAGGTTTCTAAGGTTTGAGACTTGACTCATTTTCAACTCTTCTTAAGGAGAGAAGGCATAGCTTCCATGGTTCACAAGTTCGGCCTCGTGCTCTACCTTGGTGCTGGGGTGCACATTGTGGTAGCTCTTACCATAGCAGTTGTTCTTCAACTTCCTAACTTCAAGCCCTTATATGAGTTGAGATTCTAAACCATTATTATTTATGGATCTTAATTTTTAAACAAGTTTATTATAATTTGTTAATTTTTAAATCATAAGTGATTAACCTAATTTAAGATATTAAGATCTAAATTTGATTGTGTTGAAATGTTTCGACAGTGAATGAAACAACCGGTCGAAAAATAATTCTTAAATAGACTTGACTGGAGAGTTGCATTTATTTTTATATCTTTTTGGTGCAAGAATATATTATTTTAGCATTTTTGAGCAAATTTATGCAGAGGTGCTGTCTTCATAATTAGTAAATTGACTTGACCATCAAAGCGAAATCGATTGCTCCAAATGTTATCAAGAGGCTGCCAAAACTTATATGATTATTTTTCTGGAGTCCACAATGATGTTGAAAAATATCACTATAAATTCAAATTGATAAACATATATAACTACTTGATCAAACTTTTTCAGAATTATCTGGTCATTAGAAAACTAAAACCTAGTAAGATATATCCAAGTATTACCGTTGATGTAACATCGTCCAAGTTTGCCCAACCCAATATACATCAAAGTCACCAAAGTAGGCAGATCCCAATAAAGAGAATTCCAATTCATCCATCCACTAAGGAACTCACCTACTAACTGTCTACATGAAAATCATGACGTTTTAGACCATTTGCAGAAGAAAAGAAAAGCAAAAAAAACCAATTAATGTTGTACAATTCCATTTGTCAATTTGCATCCCATGTTTTAAGGCTCAGAAGCCATGGAAAAGATTGTAATCCTAGTATTTTCATGTCCAATCTTAATCTTTGTCTCTATTTATCAACATACATAGTATAAAGCAACAGATTATTCCATCAAAAATTCAACCAATAACAGAAGAAATGATGAACCAGAAGAAGAAAATGGGTAGTGCAGTTAGAATTTGCATACACGCACATGCACATTCACTGTAAAGTAATGGTTGACTCTTTAATTCTTTCTGATTTGGATTGTGACTTTCACGGTTCATCTCCAGCTTCCTGCCTTGTCAATCAGTCACACCCTCTCTCTCTCTCATCCTTATCACTTCCCTTTTTCTTCTTTTATTGCTCTTTTATATGATTATTTGCTTTCCATGCTTTCATTGGCTCAAAAATAAAATCCCAATTTTCTGTCGTAGTTTTCTTGAACTTGTATTGAAATATATGCTTTGTGACTTCTCAGGATCATCAGAATTTTTTCTTTATCCCAGTCTGAAGCACATCTGGCTATGAATTTCTGAATATGTTAGCAACTGGAGAAATTTCTTGATGATTGTCCTGTATATGTAAGTAACTCTACATTATTGGGACAGTTTATGTCGTTTCACTTCGTTATAGTTGTCCTAGCCATGCCTTAAATGTTTCTTCTTCCAACAATACACAGCAGAATCATGGCCATATTCAATTGAAAACACGACCTCGAATTTAAAGGGACACAAGACTTAGTTGTTGTTGTTTGAGTCCTACTTGTCTTGGTTCTTCATAAATGGAAATCCAAAAGCAATTGATTTTTGCATTACATTTTTGTTGCCTAATTGTCTTTGTTCAATCATTAAATGAAGAGGGAAATATTCTCTTGGAGTTCAAAAATTCCCTTAAAGACCCTTATCATAACCTTCAAAGCTGGAGTTCTTCAGATTCAAATCCTTGCAATTGGACGGGTATAGGGTGTTTAGCTGATTTTAAGGTAACTTCGATTCGTCTTGATGGCCTCAGTTTGTCTGGTTCGTTATCTTCGATCATTTGTAAACTGCCTTACTTAGTCATGGTGAATATATCGAAAAACTTCATTTCCGGTCCAATTCCTGATGATTTTAATTGTTTTCGTAATCTAGAAACTTTAGACCTTTGCACAAACAGATTCCATGGAGAATTTCCTACCCAAATCTGCAATGTTACTTCCCTCAGAGAGCTTTATCTGTGTGAGAACTATTTATTTGGGGAAATCCCTGACGAAATTGGCAATCTAAGTTTACTCGAGGAGCTTGTCATTTATAGTAACAATCTAACCGGAATAATTCCTTCTTCCATTGGCAAACTGAAAACTCTTAGGATTATCAGGGCAGGTCGAAATTATTTATCCGGTCCTCTTCCTGCTGAAATCACTGAATGTGAGAATTTGGAAGTTCTAGGCTTGGCAGAAAATAAGCTAGAGGGTCCTTTTCCTATTGAGCTGCAAAAACTGAAGAATCTCACCAGCTTGATTCTTTGGAAAAATCAATTTACGGGTGAAATTCCTTCTCAAATAGGTAATTTCACTAGCTTGGAATTACTTGCAGTGCATGCAAATTCATTCACAGGAAGCATTCCCAAAGAAATTGGGAAGTTGTCTCAGCTGAAAAGATTGTACATGTACACAAATCAATTGAATGGAACGATCCCACCAGAACTTGGGAATTGTTCAAATGCTATCGAGATTGATCTTTCAGAAAATCGATTGACAGGAGTTATTCCAAATGACTTGGGTCGAATTTCTAATCTCCGTTTGCTTCATCTTTTCGAGAACCTCCTCCAGGGAAATATCCCCAAGGAGCTTGGAAAGTTGAAGCAGCTTAAGAATCTAGATTTGTCCATAAATAACTTGACCGGCTCAATTCCTATTGAGTTTCAAAATCTCAGGTTCCTTGAGAGTTTTCAACTTTTCGACAATATGTTTGAAGGTATCATCCCTCCATTTATTGGGGCTAATAGCAACCTCATTATCCTTGACATGTCCATGAATAATCTTGTGGGCAGGATACCTAAAAAAATATGCAGGTTTCAGAAATTGGTTTTTCTTAGCCTGGGATCAAACAAGTTGTCCGGGAACATTCCTCGTGGCTTAAAAACTTGCAAATCTCTCGAGCATCTAATGCTGGGTGATAACCTTTTTACAGGAAGTCTTTCTATTGAATTCACAAAACTTCAGAACCTTTCAGCTCTTGAGCTCTATCAAAACCGATTCTCAGGATTGATACCTTCGGAAGTGGGAAATTTTACGACCTTAGAGAGGCTGTTATTGTCGAATAACCATTTCATCGGCCAAATCCCTCCCGAGATTGGGAAACTTGTAAAGCTCGCTGCATTCAATGTATCGTCCAACAGGTTCTTTGGAAGCATTCCTCAAGAATTGGGAAATTGTTTAAAGCTCCAGAGGCTTGATCTTAGCAGGAACTGGTTTAGTGGCTCTATTCCAGGAAAGCTTGGCGTGCTAGTGAATCTGGAATTGCTGAAACTATCAGATAACACTTTCACGGGACCAGTACCGGGAACTTTAGGGGGACTAGCTAGATTGACAGAATTGCAAATGGGTGGAAATTTCTTCTCGGGGAACATTCCAGTGGAGCTAGGTAGATTAACTTCTCTTCAGATTGCTCTCAATATCAGTCATAACAATCTCAGTGGATCAATCCCGGGTAATTTGGGTAATCTGCAGATGCTAGAATCACTTTACTTGAATGACAACCAGCTTGTTGGTGAAATTCCTGGTTCAATAGGAGCGCTAATGAGCCTAAATGTATGCAATCTTTCTAATAATAATCTGGTGGGAACAGTGCCAAACACTCCGGTTTTCCAGAGGATGGATTCCAGCAATTTTGCAGGGAACAATGGATTATGTATATTAGGTTCAAATCATTGCCATTCATTTTCAGCCCCTACATCTGCTCCAAATCCTAGTTGGTTGAAAAAAGGTTCCAAAGAAAAAATAGTCAGCATTGTTTCACTTACTATCGGCCTGATCTCATTAACTTTTATTGTGAGTGTTTGTTGGGCTATAAGGCACCGTAAACCTTCTTTCGTTTCACTTGAAGATCAACCGAAACCGGATGTATTGGATGGCTATTACTTTCCTAATGAAGATTTCACATATATGGACCTTGTTGAAGCCACGGGGAATTTTTCAGACAGTGCTGTCATAGGACAGGGAGCCTGTGGCACTGTCTACAAGGCTGTAATGACCAATGGTGAAGTGATTGCGGTTAAAAAGTTGAAATCCAGAGGAGAAGGAGCCAGCTCAGACAACAGTTTTTGTGCTGAAATTTCGACTTTGGGAAAGATTAGGCACAAAAATATTGTGAAACTCTACGGATTTTGCTACCATCAGGACAACAATCTTATCTTATACGAATACATGGCAAATGGAAGTCTTGGAGAAGTACTTCATGGGAAGGAGACAGATTGTATGCTTGATTGGAATGCCCGATATAAAATTGCTCTTGGTGCTGCAGAGGGGTTATGCTATCTTCACAATGACTGTAAACCTCAAATCATTCATCGCGATATTAAATCGAACAACATTTTGCTTGATGAATATTTCGAGGCACATGTTGGAGATTTTGGCTTGGCAAAGTTGATCGACTTCTCCTCCTCAAAATCAATGTCTGCTGTTGCCGGTTCATATGGCTACATTGCCCCTGGTAAGAATATTATTTACAAGATTCTGATAAAATCTTTCTTTCACTATCTGAAAAATTATAATGATTAATTGACGTTCGTTTTTCTTGTTTCAGAATATGCTTACACAATGAAAGTGACAGAGAAATGTGATATCTATAGTTTCGGGGTAGTTTTGTTAGAACTGATCACTGGAAGGTCCCCTGTCCAATCCCTTGATCAGGGTGGCGACCTAGTAACCTGGACGAGAAGATCAATTTCTAAATTAGTATCATCTGACATATATGATCAACGGATTGATCTTAACGAGAAAAGGACAATCAGAGAAATGTCTTTAGTTCTTAAAATCGCATTGTTCTGCACCAACACATCCCCACTCAACAGGCCTACCATGCATGAAGTCATTGCAATGCTGATCGACGCCAGAGAGTCAGCAAGTGATTCATTAACATCTCCAACATCAGAAACTCCCTTGGAGGAAGATGAGTTCAGTTAAGGTACTACAATATGCTCTCTGTCCTCTTAAATTTCGTTCGTTTCTCTATATATCCATGCAACTATGTCTATGAGCTCGTATGAAGTGAACCAGCCATGACAGTCAGTTCCATGGATGAAGTTCATACGACAGCACAATAAATTTTACTCTCTTTTACTTTAATACTATCGAGTATCATCCACGATATCTTAAGAAGCACGATATATAGGTAATTCGTTATTTTGGGATGATTGATTTTCAATTTCCAGGTTTTGTGCAGCTTTAGGGTGTCATTAGAAGAGAAGGGGCTTTCACAATTTTATTTATTCTTCTTCCTTGTTGGATAATGCACCAAGAAACTCTCCTCTTGGAAGCCTGCCCTGCCTGATAAGAAGCTGGAAGCAGAGTCAAATCACCTTACTTTTAGACTATTTGTAATAAAAAGGCTTATCATAATTACCCCATTCATTCAGAAATAAACATTTTTGTCATTATTGTTTTCCAATGATGTGTTTAGTCTAGTTTAAGTTTTTAGACGATATAGTTTAAACAAGTTTCTAGAGATCAGATGGAATAGAACAATGTAGATCATGTTTGGCTGGGATTAAAATGATATTTTTTATGACGTATAATGTATTAATGAATTAAGGTGTATTATTTTTTAGGTACGTTTAATTAGAATCATAAAATATTATATGTTTATATTTAACATCTTGTTTTTGTTTATAAATATAAATTGATAATGTTCCATTTGTTGATATTTAAATTACTTAATTATAATGTATAATATTAATGAAAAATTAAAATTATTATTACAAATTCTTTAACAAATTTTAGGTTAAAATTTATGCTAGCGTATATATTCAGAATTATGTATGCATTAAAACTTTAAATATTAATGTATTATCAAAAGGAACAAATTAAATTGAAACCGAATGTAAAGAAAATAAAAATCAAATCAAATCAGGTTTTTTTTTTTCACAATGACATTCCGTTTGTAAAAATTTCATCTTTTTTCTTGGCGAAGACATTTGAGGTACATTAATTTCAATCTAAAAGTTTGTTTGACACATAATTTTTCAAGCTTAGTTTTCAGATCCGACCCATTCATTGACCCGGAAAAATCGTTGGGTAACCGGATCATGGTTCAACTGATGGATTATTGTTAGATTGCAATTTAAAAACATTTTTTTAGAATAAAAGACAACAATTTTTCTCTCTGTGTGTGTGTCTTTTCTCTGAAAGTTGTCACAAGTTAACTAGTTGCCAAAATGGTGGAGGATGCAATATTTCATTACAAGGGCCTAGTTTTGAATCACTTTCCTTGCATATTAAACAAAAATTTTTTTTTTTTCTCTTTGCTATGTAACAAATTGATTCACCTTTGAATTGGTTCCGATTTCTTATAAAACCATCCGATTTGAACGTTTATGGAGCAGTTCAACTGATTCTTGACCGATTTAATTGTTTAATGTACCAATTAGAGCAATCTAATCGGACCTATATCTGGTTTGCTCGTTCTCGAGTCGAATTAGCCGGTCCACTTTTAATAAATTATGTTTTCAAGTAATTTGTGTTTTTAAGATTGTGGAGTTACAAAGTAGGAAAAAATTACGAGTCTTACAGAATGTGTGTTGTGTTGAATATGATTTTGGTGTGGCAAACAAGGCTTTAGATGAAAGAAATATGGTTAAAAAAAGAGAGAGATGTGAAGCGTTTATAAACAATTTCCAAACATGCCTACTAGTCAACATTAATCAAATTACTTTTTAATTAAAACCAACAATTTATTGACTGAAATTATAATTTCGTTAAGTCTGTAGACGTTGAGAACTAATTTGATCGAAAACTTGTTGATTAACCGTGAATATGGATATTAGATTGATTAATTAGAATACTTTAGTGGAAATTACACGGTGCCTATTTTTAAAGTTTGCATTTCTTAAATCATATTTCAAGTTTAATATTTTAAAATTCAGATTATAATGAATATTTAATATTGTAGTAAATAAATATTACTAATTAAATCGACCCATCTCCAAATCATTCTCTCTCTCTCTCTCTTACCATTTTGATCTCTTCTCAGGCAATAAACTACCCATCTCGGCGGCACTGTGAGAGCCCTGCTACGATGACGCCGCCATCAGAGAAAGAGCGTCTCCATAGCAACAACATTTTGTCGCTTTTCTCTCTATCGTCGATTTTGGCTCTACCATGCTTTCCTATGAAGCACTAATCCGCATGTCACTGTGCAGTGTTTGTCGCGATAATCACCATGGTTCTAAGGGTGGTTGGGTGGCGGCGACGATTCTGTTAGATTTGGTGGTGTCTGTGGTTTTTATTAGTAGCGGTGGTGGCAGATCTTTGTTGTTGGGATGGGTTTTGTTGGATCTAACGATAGACCTAGTGGTGGTGGATTTGGCGGTGGCAATAGTGCTTTTGTAGTTAAAAATGATGGGTGTTGATTTGTTTGATATGGCAATGTTGCTGTCGAGAAGTGATGGTGGTGGTTTTGGCGATGGTGTGACTGGAGGTAGTGGTAAAGTGGTGAACACAAGTTTTAGTGATAGTTGATTGTAGGGATGTTGAAAGGGTCAAGCCGCTCGTCAGCTCGATCGCTCGACTCGTCGAAATAGGGTTCATGGACGGCTCGAGCTCGTAAAATCATGAGCGTGAGCCAAGCGGCCTCGTTGGGAGTCGGCTCGCCTTGAAGACGAGTCGCTCGTGGGCTCGTTGAAACGAGCCACGAGCCGCTCAGCTCATGACTCGTTATTTATAGTGATCAAAACGGTCATTGAAATTTTTTATTTTTTATTTTTTCCCTTCTATTGTAAATACCTTAACTCCCATTTTTTTCATATCAATTACTCAATCACTATTTCAACTCTCTCAACTCTATTTTATTATATCAATTATCGAGTTTGTACTCTCTTGTGCTGCAAAATATACAATATCGATTCAATTTTTACAATTTATTAGTTACAATTTCAATTAATCTAAATCTCAATTCTTACAATCTCACTACATTTATATTTTTCTAGTTATTATATTTGAATTTCATCATAAACAATCAAACCAATGGATCAACACTCATTTGTTGAGAGCTTATTCAATACGGGATGTGGCCACATCATGGCGAATCGCCTAGGACGTCACAAAATCAATTTTCAAATGAATTTGTCGGTCTAAATGACATACCTATACTTGAAGATATTCACATTCACGGTTAGAGAAGCCACAATTCAATTGATTTGGATGATATTAACGTTCCCGAAGTGGAACATGAGGACGAAGATGTCGAATTAAACATCCCAAATGCAAGAGGAAAGCGACGGGTCAAAAAACAAGCAAAATGTTTGGATCACTTTCAGTTGATTTCAACGGGAAAAGTCGTCGATGGCCTTGCAAAATCTAAAGCAGTATGTAAATACTGCCAACAAAGATTGGCATGACAAAAGAAATTGGTATCACACATCTCAATCGTCCTACAAAGTATGTGCGGTCAGACATGGACTTTTTCCAACTAATCAAACACAATTGCAATTTGGCAATTCATGTGCCGATTCTACGACTTCATCCCTATCCACGTGGGTGTATTCAGTGGACAATACTCGAACCAAAATGGTGAAATTTGTTGTCGCCACTGAATTGCCTCTGGCTATTGCAGACAACCAACACTTCGTCTCGTTCATGAAAGATATCTGCAACCAAGGTCGTTGGGGTAAGTCAAAACACTTTTCGTGCCGATACAATACAATATTTCAATAATTCAAAAAAATAATTAATTATGGCTTTACAACAATATGAAGATGTTATATCTTTAACTTCTGATATATGGGAAGAGGTTAATAAAAAAACATATATAGCTGCAATCGCACACTATATAGTCCCACTTTGGTACATGCAAAAAAAATATTGTTTTTAGAATTATTGAGTTTCCTCACAATGTTAATAATATATAGAATGTTATTATCAGTGTTGTTAGAGAATATAATTGCAAGACTAAAATTCGGCCTTTTACTTTTGATAATGCTAGTGTTAATAAAGTAGTTGTCGATAAATTGTGTAGGACACTTCAACCTGATTTTGGTGGGTATTTGTTTCATATTCGTTGTGTGTGTCATATTTTGAATTTAATTGTGTAAGATGACTTAAAACATATAAATGAACTTCAAATGATTACGAATGCATTAGTATATATTACGATCTCTCCTAGTAGAAAGTAAGCATTTGAAGATTTTTGTGCCGAACTAGGGATGATGACTGCTAAAACATTTGTCTAAAACCAACAATTTATTGACTGAAATTATAATCTCGTTAAGTCTGTAGACGTTGAGAACTAATTTGATCGAAAACTTGTTGATTAACCGTGAATATGGATATTAGATTGATTAATTAGATGACTTAAAACATATAAATGAACTTCAAATGATTACGAATGCATTAGTATATATTATGATCTCTCCTAGTAGAAAGTAAGCATTTGAAGATTTTTGTGCCGAACTAGGGATGATGACTGCTAAAACATTTGTTAGCGATGTAGAACATAGATGAAATTCTACATACTTGCTATTAAAGTCATGTGAATGTTTCGAAAATTTAATAACTGATTTTCATAACAATAGACACATTAGAAGTGATGACGATGGTATGTTAAATGAATCCGATTGGGTTTTAGCTTTAAAAGTTAAACGATTTTTGAAATTTTTTTATGAGACTACAAAAATTTTATCCGACGTTTATTATCCCACAAACTGTATGGTGCTTGAACGCCTTTATATAATTGCAAGAACATTCCATAAATATAAAAATGATCCTACTTTTAGTGAAATTATAATTGTTATGGACTTAAAGTTTAGAAAATATTGAGAAGAATTGCCTATATTATTTCCTTTAGCATGCACAATGGACCCCCGATATAATATTTCGGGAACTAAATACGTAATTGATAAAATCAATAAAGTCTTAATATTTGATACACCTAATACTAATAAGAATTTAAAGTAAACATTATGTGGAAAGAATGGGTGCGAATGTTAGTCGGGTACCCTCTGCACCTACTTTTTCAGATGAAATTGAAGAAGATAATGCCGAAATAATGAATTTATTTCAAGGTATTAATACATTTAGATATGATGCAACTGTAATGTGTTCATCTAGTGTCATGTCGTCTACATTTGTATCTCATCAAATATCGACCGAAACTCAAAAATGCGATGCCTACTGAATTAATTGATTACTTCAATCATAATATGCCAACAGATAGAATAATTAAAAAAAGTTCAGAATAAGTAATTGAATTTTGACGAAAGTATGAAAGACATTGGCCAATTGTTTCTGTAATTGCGAAAGATATGCTGACACCTTCGATCAACATTGTTACTTCGGAGTCTACTTTTAGTGCAGGTAAAAGGGTTTTGGCCGATATTTGGAGCCGACTAAAAGAAGATGTTTTGAAAGTGTTAATGTGCGTGAAGGATTATCAGGACGCTCATTTTTTACTATAAAATAAATACGCTGAAATTGCATGTCGTCAAGTAAGTGATATTTGATTTAATTATATCAATCAAAATTTCCTTATTTTTTAATCTTTAAATTTAATTTTATTTAAAAAATTATACATGTTACAACAAGTTGTTCGTGTACAATTTTTAACTCCACATA